ACACCCCCTCACTCTGAAAGACCTTGCTCCCCCAAATGGGGATGGCCCTTTCTTTACTGACGTTGAGGAAAGTAGTAAAGACCATGCTTTTCTGCAGAGCCTTTGGAGAGGAGAATGTCATGTGATGCTAGTAGCAACTATTAGAAAATAATGAGGGATGATGAAAAGGGTTTTTGTTGCTTAATTACTGGTGTCCTTGTATTTCTCCACTTGATAGTGAGTTTCTCTAAGGTAGTTGTGCAATCATGATAGGGCCTTCCTCCCTCTTTCCTTGCACTATTTTTGACTGGTATGTTCCTGTGTTTTTCTTTATTTCTAGATTTGTGCAAAGCCAGTTAGATTTGCTTTAGCAAAGTGATTCATGCTGTGGAGGCAAAGTGATTCTTTCTGGTGAAGTGAAGAGGCAACACAGTTCTCCAGGAGGAAGCCCTTTGCACCACGGCAAACCACTTTCGGCCAGTGCTGGGAGCCTTCTCCTGGACCATTTGTTGAAGAAATCTCTCAACCTTCTCTTGCAGCACAAACTCTGTAAGAAAAGGGGGAGAGGGACTGTAGAGCAGAGCCCTGCAAAGTCATAGAGCTACTTTACCTGAAGAAGTTAGGGAAGCATGCTGTTTTGTGAAGGAAATTCAAGCACCCCTTTTAAAGATTTGCACAGCCCTCTTCTTCACATTATTTTAACACATATCATTTAATGTCCCCATAAGATGTGGGAGGAAGGGTGGACAAACCAGCCTAGATAAGACCAGGTAGGATTCTGAAGTCAGGGCCTCTGCATTCCGGCTATAATACCTCAACCCACTAGTTGGTCAAAATGCGGAGAAATGCCAAAATGAGCAAAGGGTAGTGGTGGTGGTGGTGGGAATGGCAACCCATCACCTTGGCAATAGTAACTGGCACACTTACAAATCAGGACTGCAATGGAGACAGGATATCCATTGGTAGTGAGAAGACCAAATGTTACGCATGTTTTGGACAACTTCCAAAGCAACTATAGTGAACTCTCCAAGGTGCTGATGGTGTTTGTCATCTGTTGATGGCCAATTGCAAGTTGGCTTTCTAAGACTCTCAAGCCTGGCCTGGACAAATACTGGTAATTATACCGTCCTTTCTCCTTGGAGTTGGGAGATATACTGTCTGGAAACATGTTCAGCCTATTCAAGGGGTTGAAGACCCATTCTCCTGCAAACTTTCCTAATTCTTTCTAAACCAGTAAAGCTTCCATGTATGGCAATACATTTTTTAAAAATGTCAGAATGCTATGCTCTGTTTTTTAAAACCAAAAAAATCTCCCCCAAGTAAACAGTGAATAGAATAGATCAGAATGGACAAAAGGATCCACAGTGTAATGTTTCTTTAAAAAAACCAAGAACTGAAACAGAGAGAAGTAAAACAGCAGCATAAAACATGTCATATCAGCATCAGCCTAACCTCAGATCTGAAATAGTCTAAGAAGGGAACAAGGACACCAACAGAGCCTGTTCTGCATGCTTGTCCAAGGGAAATTGGGACAAAAATACATCTGTGGTTTCCTGAAGAGGAAATCAAGAATAGACCAAATGGACCCTTCAAGGGAGGGAGTCAAGAGAGGGCAAGTTACTAAGTCAGCTCTGTCTCATTCCTGCTAACCTGGTTGGGATATTGGGGGAAGGTATGAATGGAGATAAATAAATCAGGGCTGAACTGGATCCCAGCTGCCCTAAGATCTTATTGTGTGGAGTGGAGGCAGGGTGGTGGCATGAGTTCTTCCCATTTTAAAAGATGCCTGTTTTTGGAAGAAAAAGAACAAGTCAGGCTGTTGCTATAGCACGATGCAAGACAAGCACCATGGTTCCCAGAAAAAGGGGATTCTTGACTCTAAGTAGCTTAAGCAGAACTCTAGAGCTCCTGTTTCAGGTGGTGTGGAATGAGAGCACTTCTCTTAGAGATTGGGAGTCTGAAGATGTGTGATGGCTGCGATGATGGGCTGTGCAGTCTGGCATATTTGCAGATCATTGAATTGGGGAGAAATCTCCTTTGGTGTAAATATTCCCAACTTGATGACTATGGGGTGTTGGGATCCTAGCCCCTAAGCTGTGGCTCCAAGCCCCAGGCAGAAGGCTGTGGGTTGGGGAGAACTGGACTGCAAGGTTTTGTTTGCAGAGCCTGTCATGGGATGTTCTGCATCCAGCTAAAATGCACTTCCAGCAGTGATAAAAATTGTTTTCAGTTGTATGCTCTTTATGGACCTGAATGATTTGTGCAGCTTGGATTTTGCAATAGAAATAAAACAACGGCAATAATATGGCAAACTCTTTGGCTGTTTCAGGAGAGGATGTCATTTGATATGAATATAGAAGGGAAATCCTATTCAATTTACCTGAAGCAACAGTGAGTAAGAGAAATAATTGGGAACTACTGTCCCTTTTCCAGTTAATTTATATAATTGCCTGAATGCTTAAGGAACCGTATAAATAGTTCAAGAGATTTCAAGGCCTGTCCATCCAAGGGAGAAGGAAATGGTCTCCAATTCTGTTCTACAGAGGAAATGAATTTATTTTCAGAAGCACATCTTCCTAGCCCTGGTTGAAAAAAAAATTTCCTTTCATTTCAAAAGGTACCCACAGAGGAACAGGGTAAAATATGAATGCAAATGTCATTGGCTTATAAGGATGAAATAGCTAGTAAATGCTCCTGCTCTTGGGTGCTTGAAGTCTTGCTCCAGGATGGAGGAGAACTTGGCCAAGAAGAAATATGTAGCCTAGAGGATTCTGGGAATCGTAGGATCGGCACATCTGGGGGGTACTAGATTGGGGAAGGCTGTTTCAGGTTATCTCTCAATCCTCTTCAATCTAAGTCACGGAAGCTGCCACCTCCCTCTGCTTTTCTTTCTTCTTTTTGTGGCCAGATGAGTGAACTTCCAAACAAGGCGTTGAGTTGCAGGAATCCACCACGTTTATTTTCTAAGAAAACGGATGGATCTTTTGAAGCCCAGAGGCCTCCTTTAGAAATCCAGATGATGCCAGAGGCTGGCATGCTGGTTTGCAGCAACTCGATTCTCCTTTCTAAAATTTAACATATAAGAAAGACAATAGGGCACTGAGCTTGGTTGACACCAAGGAGGTGTATGTGGGAACATTGTGTTTCCGGGACTCTTCCATTGTATAAAACAAGATGGAGTGATCATCTCTCTCCCTCTTTGTTTATGCCGAAATAAGTGTGTCTCTCTCTGTGCGTAAGTGCCATTGAATTCTTCTGGGTGCTTTTAAATTTCCAGTCTAACGTAGAGCCCTGGGATTTCCTGGTTGACTCCCATCCAAATACTAACCTGACTCTACTCTGTGTGCTTTCTCAGGATCAGCTAGGTTAGTTAGATGCTGTTCTCTAGCTGGGCCAAGGAAGCTGAAGGAGCCTGTTCCAGCCTTTAAAACCCCCAACTCCCTCAAAGTGAGGACTGCTGGGAGTTTTGATCCCCCCTACTTTTGGAATACCACTCTTGACGTGTTGCAAAATGCCTCACGCGGATCCAAGCTGCCCATCCCTGGTCAATAGATTTACTTCAGCCTTCAAATCACCCTACGGTTCCAGGGTACACTGAGCCAAATCTTCATGGTTCTGATAAAATATCGGTCAAGCCCCTTCACTGGAGAGCACGGTCTCAGAAGCAAGATTCACACAAACTTTCTTGAATGAGTTTTAATGCCAAGAATGAGGGGGTAAAGGACAGAACTTTGAGAACTCAGATAGGAACTATGAAGCCCTCCTTTATTAGTGAGATTATTAAAGTGGGATCTTTGAACCTGTAGAATCTCAAATTTCCTGCATGATGGACTAAGAGTTCATTTATTTGACATGCTTATAATTTTCTTATGTAATCTGTACTCTCTCTCCCTTCCCTCCCTTCTTTGCCCTGCATGTGTGTGTGTGTTTTTATTTGTAGAGCCTTTTTATCCAATTATTTTAGAGTTTATACATACAACAGAGATGGTACTCCAGTTTCTTTTGCCCCTTCCCTCCAGGTAAGTCCTTTTATCTGATTATTGTTCGATTCCACTAAAGCTAACCACTGATTCAGAAAAATAGTCCCTCAGCGATTTGAGTTTTAATCAATTGGCTGATCAGGTATGTATTAGTCTGTTTTTATTGTTACAATGTACAAAAAAACAAAAAGGAAATAACGTTTATAAGTTCTTATATTAATAAAGTATAAAACAAAAAGTAAGAAAAATAACCCCTCCAACGAACAACAGAACAATAAAACAAGCTAAACAATAAACCTGTACCTACAAAAACTCACCCACAGACTCCTGAAAGGCTTTAATGTGGTAAATAATCTTGCAAACGTTGCAGCTGTAAGGTGAGGCATAAGAAATCACCGATGTGCTCAGAAAATGGGGAGGGGGGATCCTCCAAAATGCAGCCAGAGTAAAGGTGGCCCATCCCACAATGGAAATCTACCACTTTTTTTTCTTAATCATAAAGTGAAAAGGGGGACCAAAGGTACCATGAAAAGCTGCACGAATTCTGTGGGGAGCTCATTTCAGACAAATGTTTTGGCAGTGGGAGAACTCTGTTCACTTATGATCTTGAGCTAAGTTGGAAAATCGGATGGAAATAGTCTACCTGAATAGTGGCTGTTAGTATCTGAAGAGCAGAGACCCATTTGGAATCTGAACCTAGGTACGTATATCTAGGTTAAGGTGCGCAATCTGGGGGTCATCCTGGACTCACAGCTCCTGCTCATTCAGCTATGGCAAGAAGGCCTTTGTACAACTCCATCTAGTGTGCCAGTTGTACCCTTTCCAAGACTGAGAGGCTTTTAGGTTCAAAACAGGTGGGCATGAATTTTCTCCTAGAATACAAAATGATGATGGGATTATTGGTGTGATCCAGTTTGGTTCTTTATCACCCCAATTTTAGTAGGGGTATAAATGGTGTCTTAGAGCAACGGTCTTCTGCTTCCCAAGGGGGGACCTGCTTCCAAGAAGTAATGCACTTGGACAGTGAGAATGAGAGGACCTATGTTGGATTTCCTCGTGCAACAGGTGTGGATCGGAGAGATCCATCTCTTTCTCCTTCTTCTCCTCCTCCTCTACTATAGTACTTAGACGCCTCTTGTTACAGCATAAACCATTCTTGTTTATTCTTTCTAGCGGGATTGCTATTATCAAGGCTACGTAGATGGTTATGCAGATTCAGTTGTGATGCTCAGCTCCTGCTCTGGGCTCAGGTGAGGTTTTCTAACTCCTCTCAAGCGGACCCCTTTTGTCCCTCAGTCCAACTGTTATCGCATTTGGTCCTCTCCAGAAATTCAGTCAAGGACAAAACCATGGCTGCGCCAAATGCAAGTCAAGCATCTTTAGTGTGTGGTCAAAGACCTGTACATCATAATACTCAAGAGTATGAAACAGGTTACGTGTATAAAAAAGGAGAAATCATAACACCGAGTGGGCAATCAGTCAGCTGTGCATTTTGCAAATGATGTGACAGCATCAAACACCCTACTTATTTAGCCATAGCATTAGATCTCATAAATGTAAACAATTAAAAAAAAAAAAACTACCTTCAGAATGGTGCCTCCTCCATTTCTCTTCCAAATATATTTTTTTCCTCTTTGCCTAAAGGGACCTTGGTCCCCATCTATGTCAAAATGGTCCACTAGTAGTTCTGGCTGGTCATAAATAGGTTTTTTTTTTCTTTGCATTCCTTCAATGCGAGAAAAATAATGGCAAGTTCCTACATTTTCTCATTTTCCTTAATATTCTTCCCTCCCCGCGTCTTGCCTTCTAAAGGTAGCTCCTCTGGGAAAAGAGAACATGAGTCTCTTTGCCCAAGACACTGAGCAGAAGCTAGCTAACCACGTTTTAGCTTATCACATTGGGCAAACCCAACCTCTGTGGTTAGTTTACACTTTACTACAGCTTGCAAAGCCCAGAAAATTGGCTTGAGCGAACCATGGTACCAATAACTGTGGACAAGCGCATTATAGTAAGCTACCACCTGGCTGTTCAGGTCATAGCAGAATAATGCCTGGGTGCACATCATGATACACCAATGGAGAGAAATCTAACCATTTCCTAGAGACTCGCTTTTTCAAATGGATTTCCCTTGCTTAAAAAACGATAACCTTGGAAATCGTGCTGTATGTATGTATGTATGTATGTATTTTCCTCTACCTGCCAGTGGGCTGATACAGATTCAGGACATCAGCTATGGAATTGAGCCAATCGAGTCAGCCTCAGGGTTCCGCCATCTTGTTTTTCGGACAGATTACAATGATATAGACTTTCAGATTTCAAAGCAGAATTATTCCATTAAATGGAGTACTGGAGTAACTTCAAAGAAAGACCCAGCAGAACCAGTGAGTGCTACTGCTTTTTTTGTTTTTTTAAATCATGATTAGTTGCTCAGTGGGGTCATGGGCAGGACTAACATGTCCTGCATAACCCATTTTATAATGGAGTAGAGTGGGTTAATTTTAGGTTTAAAGTAACCTCTCCTGTCCATTAAGATCCTGAAACAGAAAAAAAGAATTAACAGAGAGTTAATTCTATCTTTCTACTACCAGCAGAGGCAAAATCCTAGAGTGCCCCTACAAAAAATGGAACCCTTCTAGGAACTCCATCTTGCTGCTAATTGTATTTTTCACTTATGCCCTGTATTTTTCACTTAGGCACATGAGGTAGAAGAAGGGCAGAAGGGAGTGGGCAATAGGTAGACCTTCCCCCCAGTTCTATCCACGATGGTGCTGACCCTGATCAGGCTACGGGAAGTTTTTTTCCCCTCAAAAAATAAAAATGGCTGCTCTCATTTGCCTGGGCTGTCTCTGAATGTGTGATGTGAACATCCCAGTGTAGCCATTGAATGCACAAACATAGTCCTTGTCCACTCTGACCCAGTGGCCCTTTCCAATATTTTTTTCTTCCAGGGGCGACCACAGGTATGGTGAAAACAATCAAGATGGTGGTTTTTGGTGGTACCACTGGTTTGATCCCATCCCTGCTCTCTGTAATGCTTTTCAGCAAAGATACCGAACTGACCTCCTGACCTTCTCTGTGCCCTTTCACTCACTTGCCTGCTCTCTCTGCTTTCCTAGGCAGACGTTTGTTACCCTGTCCTCCCCTAGATTGTGGGTCCAAACCTGGTGAAACCCAGAGTGAATAAAGGAGGATGATTAGTCACCAAATCCATCACTAATAACATCTTAAACTTTGTTTCTTCCTTGAATTAAAACAGATTAACTTTGCCACCCTCAGATATGTGGAAATGCACGTGATTGTGGCCAAATCTTTGGTATGTATATTTTGTTGGCTGTGTTCACTGGGAATCATTGTCTAAAATGCCTCCACAGGTAGAGTTGAGGGGAGTATAGATAGTGACGTGCTGTCTAAATTCAGCCCACCCAGTCAATGATACAGCACTTGTTACAATCAATCTAAAAAACTGGAAAATTCATATTCCTGATTAGTCATGAAGTGTTCTACCCAGGTTTCCTTTAATTCCTTGAAGCACATCTACCCTTAAGAAATATTCCTTTGAAACACATCTGTCTCGATGCAACTTTTTGTGAGAAATGACAGTCACTAACTGTCTCCAGGTTATTCTCAGTCCGTGCTGGAAATGTTCTGGCGGATTACACAAATTTATACTCAGCGAAACTCATGACAGAGTTCTTTTTATCCATGGCCCAGTGCATAATTAGGATCTCTTCATTAGCATTATTCGTTCAGTCATTCCAGCTACTGCTGGCCGGAATGAAAAAGGGAATGAAATGTTTGGGGGAAGGTTGTTTCTGACTGTACCTTACACGGAAGAGATGTTTCAGCTTGGTAAGTATGTTTGCAAACTTTTATTCGTTCAAACGCACACTTTGCATTGTCAAGTGTACATGTAAACGGTCTTCAGTGGGCTTCCTAAACATGTGTAAAGTTGATACTATTGATGAATGAGGAAGTTTTTTTTGTTTTTGTTTTGCAGTATGATTATATGGGTTCCAGTGAAGATCTTGTCACGGGAAAGATCATGCAGCTTATGAACTTCATCAATACTGTAAGTTGCGCCTATTTATGTGCTGTTAATATCTACACCAGCCATGCTTAGAACATCATGCATCTCCTTAGGCTTATGATGGCTGATTCTGTCATTGGTATATGTTCTGAATCTGAGCATGAGTCTTTCCTTGATTTATTCTTGCTCCTATTTTCAGATGTTTTACAAACTCAACGTGAAGATTATTTTGTCCTCGTTAGAATTATGGATAAACAAAGATAAAATCCCTACCACAGGAACAGCCGAGCAGCTGCTGGAGCAGTTTCTGCACTGGAAAAAGGACCACCTCGCTCTGCGACCTCATGATGTGTCTTTCTTATTTGTGTAAGAAGCAGTTCTCCCTAATTATTGAAGAATGGATTATTTGGTATTGTGTCAATATAGACAACCTACAGGATGGTCCTGTAGTCTGCCCAAGCAAGTGAAATGCAGTTGAATTCAGCAGATGAGTTGGAGCAGTTGATTGCAAGGAAGGGAAGTGGGTTGGTGGGGTAAGGAACATTGTTGAGCATGAAGTGAAGGAAGCAAGTATCACTAGATATCTGGGGTGAGGAACAAGCTGAAACATCCTGTAGTGTGATCAGCCTATTGCAGCAATGTCAGAAGTGAGTCCAATTGATATGGATCAGATAGTTGGTAGACCTAGTTGAGGACATTCTGTACTGGTCTCCCCACTGGCCTGTTGGTCAGGATTGCTGAAAGTTGCAGAGAAGAGCCTTTTCCATTGCCTGCTCTTTGGTCCTTTTAACTGGAGATGCTAAGAATTCAGCCTGAATGGCTTCCGTGTAAAAGCTGGTGCCCTATGGCTCAACGTCACTGCAAGTTGCGTTCAACTGTGTCAGATCTGTGTACTGATGGAGTAGAGTTATCTAAACTGATTGGGAATTATTCTTCCAGGTTTCAAGCAGGACTCGCCCCCCAGTTTTAAGTGGGAGGTCAGGGATTGAAACCAGGAGCTTGTTGTAACTGTAAATATTGCCATTGGGTTACATCTGATAGATGACATTTATCTCTTAACACAGAGTACATTAAAAATTCATCTTCATAATCTATCTGTTGGCCCAAAGTCAATATCCCAGCTTCCATTGAATTTTTCCATATCACCATCTTTTTCCTAATTTATAAAGTTGGGTTTCCCCATAAAGGCAATTTGGCATGGGAAAAAGGGTCAAATCTTTTTTATTAGACATTATGTTCCATAGCTCTCCAACTAACAAAATTGTTTCCAGAGATATTAGAGTTTTAGTATATTTAGATCCTAAAACTGTCCATCCAACCAAAGGTGTTTTATATGTATATTTCGACTGCCCAAATCGGAAAAGTAACACCACTTGTTGGCTTCCAGTATTTAATACTTGACAATTGGTAAGCTTAAGGATGTAGCTCCAGATTCGGAAAACTGAATCCTCCCTCATTAACTGATAGTTGTATTTTCTGTAAAGATAGAATTGAAGAATTCCATAGAAATGTTATATACAAAAAATTCTTTGTTTAGAACATTTCTATGGGATTCTTCAATTCTGAGAATATCTTTACAGAAAATACAATTTCTGTATTTTAAAGTATTTTCTGAAAATATTTTATTCATTGAGGATATTTTAAAGACCTTGAGGAAGACGTTGTGTTTTGAACCGGAGGATGAGGAATGTAAGAAAAACATTCTTCTGGTATTTGGAGCAGCTGAAGAGACTGGACAGAGCCTTTGAATAAAAAAGATAGACACATTTGAATAACTTAGTATTAGAAGAGGAAATGCCATGGATATTCCAGGGAAGAACCGCTACTCAAACAACAGATGCATATGGGAAATCACTGTAATTGTTAGAATGGCAATAATGATGCCTTTGACTTATAAAATTTGAAATATTTTATATTATTTTTATATTTATTATTTTTGTCATTCAAAGCAATTTCTTCTCTTCCTTCAGTTATAGGAACAAGGCTGGTTCAGTGGGGTCAATATTTGCCAAAAAGATGTGTTCTAAACCCAGTTCTGGTGGAACTGCTATGGTAAGTTAGTATAAATGCTCATGCTGGTTTGTCTTATTATTATTAATCACTTCCTGGTTCTGTTCGCAAAACCCACTTCATCAGATCAGTTCATAAATTCATAAGAACTAGAATTCAGGGTCTCCCGGTTTCTAGCCTGATGCCTTAACCACTGCACCAAACTATTTAGACAAATCTATTAGAATTGATTTATGGCAGTGAATTGTTGATGTATGCTCTTTGTCAATGTTTGAATTTGTTGTCTATGGTTAAATATTTTCATAGGATTTCTTTCTTTCTTTTTTTAAATAAGCAGTATAATATTGTGTTCGGAAGTTTTAATCTTGTCACTTTAGGCCATAGGGTTTGGTAGCTGAAATTGATACTGTCTTTAGATTCTCGGTCACCACTTTCATGCCCTACCTAAATTTCTGCACCACAGTATTACAGTCACACCATTAATATTCAGTTTGTAATACCTGTAGATTTTAGTAATTTAGTTATTTTTATGTACTGTCCAGACATTTGTATTTAGTCATTTTTAGCATTATGTATAGTACTATTATATAATAGTATACCTCTAACATAGATTTACATAGTGGTATTTATCACTGCAACAGTTAGAACCGGTCACAGAACAACCGATTGGTTCAAAATAGGGAAAGGAGTACGACAAGGCTGTATACTGTCACC